AGAGATAGACTGATACGACGGAATATCGAAAACAATGGCGCACGTGAATCTGCTCACTAACCCTACAATCTGTCCCGTCCTCCATGGAATATGCTCTCAGCATTTCCGTCTCCCTTCGTTCTGTTATTCAGATCATCAGCCTAAAGCAATAACAAAAGAATCGTGAATACGGAAGTGCATGATCAATGATTGATAAAACTGACTGCCTGAAATAGGGCTATGTATACATCTCTCAGAAGCATATCATTATTCCTCTCTGAATGCATCACGGTTTCTAGGTTCGATAGGTTATTGAGTAATCTGATACATTATGTAATCTTTTAAGACAGTGAGGTGACGTTGGATCAATAAAATACGTTGTTTTTTTCAAATTGATCAGTTGAGACTCGCGTGGTGTACCCTATGGGGTATGTTGTTGCTTTGATATTAAAGAAGAGAATCATTCATATGGGATAGACCATCTCCTTAATTGACGTCCCAAAATTCAAGGCACCATATCCTGTTTACCTGGTCATTGAGCAGATGTACTTAGTCGGTAAGGGGCTACTTACGGTAATAGGGGAACTGGTCGATTTTGGGACCTGATTAGATGGATGAACAAAAGGCCAGCTGATACTCACTCATTTGGTCGGGCAAAGCTGAGTATTGTTTGGACTTCACCTATTAGTCCAGTTGATTAGATTGGATCTATGGGATTGGAAACTCATCCTGTATAGCTCATGGCGTCACAAACACACCAAAGCTGTCCCAACATATCAGGATGTAGTCTTATCGGGAAAAGGAATGCAATAATATCAACATGTATTGTAGGCAAACCGTCGATTATTCCGTGCCGGTTGTAAAGTGTGAGAGGTCAAATTCATGGTCAACTTGAGATCTTCTAAGCAAAATCGGCTATAGGCAAATAAGTTTCTTTTCTTTATGTTCCATTACCGCCTGAACCGGTTTCCTTTTGCCTTACATTGCTGGGTTCAACACTGAACAGTTAATTGTACCAGTTAAAAAGTAGTATATTATCAGGTAACAGTATTTGAAGCTGCCGATATCTCATGCCGATGTTGTCTCTCAAGGCAGCGTTTCGATTGACACGTCTTTTTAACGATCACATGCAGTTTGATTCTCGGGTGATTTACGTAGACTTTTATGTACCACCTCACACGGAATAGCATAATACTGTAGTGAATTTATTCAGAGACTGTCTCTCAAATTTTCCGTTACTGATCACACCAATTTTAATTAAAACACAGCATACTGCTACGATTGGTAGAAAACAGCTTAACGAACACGCTTATTCTCGGTAACTTTAAATGTAAAAATGTAAACGTCTTTTAACTTTCTTTTTATTCATTGAACAAATATGCAGTCGACTTTCAGGAAGGGGGCCACGGCCATACAAAGGCTGCCCGGGGAACTACATAAGAAGGGGAGACGGGCCTAATTGGGGCGATCCAAACCCGGGACTCTCAGATCACAAGTTGATGATCTAGCCACCTGGCCACAGCATCGCATGTTTTCCGACTGATGAATCATCGAGAAAGAAACTTGTTCGCGACCTTGGGTTTTTATTCAATGTGCGTCACTGGTATACTAATGTATTCAACAATATTTCAAGCTGATGTTCACCCCGATTCCGATGATGTTTATTTCCGGTTTTGTCACTGATATCAAATGACAACTGCATTGACAAACAAAGGAATTCGTCTGCTTTCTCGTCAATTGTTAGCGCACCCGGGTCAGTGAATGACCGATCGATAAGTTCTCTTTGACGTGATCATCAATCACCGTGACTCAGGGGACTAAACCGTGGTATCAGTTGATCAAACCAAGAATATGAGTGACTAGTATGCGCGTATACAATACATGCTCACCTTGTTTCTACCCATAGTTTCGTAAATCCCATGACGAAAACAATTATTTTGCTAATAAGGATTGAATATTTCTTGTGACAGTACACTGAATCATTATGGACAAAAGTTTGGAAAACGGAAAATCAAATTAATCAACGATGATTCTTCTCTCAAACTGAACACATTTCCTCCAGTTGGCCTGAACAGAATTTGTATTTTCCATACCAGCATTTCTTAGAGGGTACAGGGAAAATTGTGATCAGTGCTTGATCGAGATATGACAAAGAGATAAACAGTGTAGGAGAGTAAGACGTGACTGTTATCTAGACCATGCAAAGAACTGAGATTATCACAGATTCTGATCATCTTTACTTTATACCGGGGTGAGGCGTTCTTGGTCCTCTTCCTCGCCCACCTCTGAAAGGCTGTTCCGGTGCCAAACCTATGTGACCAGGGACGAACGCTTTCTTAATCGAACTGAGGCGCTTTTACCAAGATCTGTTTAGATTGCAGGCGCCCTAAAGAGCGGTAACATTGTATAAGGTGACGCTATTACGGTACCTCGATTTCCCTTGTCACATGTTTTCCCATTATGGGCGCTTTGAGATGCGGCCTCTTAGATGATGCTTGCCTATGAGTTCTACAATGACACTTAGAATCACTTTTGTATGAGGGTATTTATTTTTATTCTGTTTTTAAGGCATTTAAGATTTCAAGGTACTTCTATCCCAGTGGTGGATACATCTCTTTATCCAACAACTCAGATTTTTCAAACGAAAGACTATATCAATGTCCCCGCACTCAACTCGGGGCTTTATCACTCACCGGTTTCATTCCTTCCTTTGTCCCCACTACATTTCTCTGTATTTTAGTTTGACTTATGAACCGAAATGAGGGGAAATATTCTTCTTCAGTTCACCCAATTTGTCCTGCTTCGCAAAAGATTCATAGAACATTTTCGTATTCCACAGAAAGAGAACATTTCTGCTTGCGCTCATACTTCCTCAAAATACGTCACTGGTGCCTATTGGTACCCAAGACCATCAAGGGTGCCTGGGGCCTCTTAACAATCGAATGGGTTAATCCAAGCTNNTCCAAGCTTGATACTCTAAAATTGATTGAGCCATTCGCACGCGATGACCGTCGACAGTATAGCTCAGGAGTAAGTGTTTGAAATCCCGACCCAAATGTTCACGGTTCGATTCCTGACAGGGACACAAAAAGCACGCAATGCTAACGAGTTACAAGAAGGACAAAACAGCTATCCAGTGCTCATATCGGTTATCATAAACGTTCCCATCGCATTTGAATGCATTTGCCCCTGAGGAATCAACGATCTCCCAAGGAGTGAAACCCACATCAAAGACCATCAAGACTGACTGGTGCCTCTAAACAATTGAATGGGCTAGTCCAAGTTTGATAATCGGAAGTCATTGGTAGCTTTCCGGTAATCACAGAAAATAAGTGAGGTTCATTGGGCTTTCAGTATTCAATTATTCACGTCCCAATTTTTTATCTCTAGCCCCGGCCGAACTCGCGAGTATGAACACGCACACACACACACCAAGAACAATCCAAATTGGTCTTGCACTGCAGCAGTCCCTCGACAATACAATGTCCTGTTACAGGCCCATGTAGGGTAATATTCTACAGCTAGCCCTATCGGGATAATTTGATCTACGAATGCCTTGTGTATTCAGAGTATCATCGGTGGTTGTAGAGGAATCTAGGAATTTGGTTTTGGAATAGGTTATCTACAACCTAAGCCTTTGAAAGTAAGTTCAATTGCTATTGTGCCCTTCAGTATCATTATACCAGGGTGTTAATCCCGTTCTGGCTTTACCAGACAATGAATGGCACTGGATAAGCACACATAAGGATATTTTTCCGTTTTGCTAGCCACGGAGCCATCAAACTCGAGGTCCTGCTAATAGTGAATTGGCCGCACCTCACAGCCCGGTCGAATTGTCTCCATGAGTAGTTCACCGTTACCAGACCCCTAAAGTATATAGGGAGTAATGCATACTTGAACAAAGGAATTCATTGTAAGCTGCATTACAAACTAAATCTCTTTAACCGTTGTTTTTGCTCACCAACTATGAGTGCGTGTCATAGGCTGACTTGTCACTCGTTATTGCTAGTTATTGGCATGCTGCAATTTTTAGCACAAATGTGAGCTTAGATTTAATATAATTTAAAAATCGATCAAAGAATGTCATTGTCAGGTTTGTACACGAAACCTGGGACTAGCCCCGATTAGAGAAATCCAAAAACAACAACAACTTTTGATGATGACGTTTCGGCCCTCTTAGTAGGAGGCCTAGTATAAGTCTATTAATAGGCAATCATTGAACGAGCTGTGACGGAAGCCTTGTCCTACGAACGGGGTTTCGAAATATGTAGGGGACGGAACGTGGTATGAAAGGTGATTATGGCAATTTACGAGTGAACAAGAGCCGAGGGTGACGTCATAGATGACGGGAGACTAGAGTCCTAGAGGATTTTTCCGTTATAGCAAGATTGAATGTATTGAGATTTATGTGTAGGTCGGGATTGATTATGTTGGTGATGGTATGTTCTCCGAGCTGAACGCACAACACAAAATTAAGACACTTTGTTCCATTATCTACCCAATAATATAATCTATAAAGCATTTCATCTATAAATTTATTAGCGTCAAACAGACACCACGACTCATGCTTTGACATCATATTTCAAGCGCTCTTAGTCTCGTATCAATAAAACCCTTCACTACACCGGAAATCCGCCTATCTAAGGAAAAAGTTTTGCTAATTGGCAAACACGGTTGGTGTTGTTGTTTTTGTCGTTGTAGTTGGAATAATTCCAAAAACGTGAATGCAACAAATCTGGATTGACACGCACATGTGCATGTGTATAAATATAATTCGACGGTCAGCTGATTTCAACAAAAAAGCATATTCCTTCGCTTTCGTGGCTGCTGCATCTCACAAACACAAATGTATAAAGAGCGGTGGGTGACACAAATAAATGCAAAGTATGGGAGAATATTGTGTGTCAGGGCGCAGTTTCACTAGGAGTTTGGCCGGGCGATCGAAAGTCAGACATCACGTATGTGTGTACAGGCTTCTGTTTTTGTTTGCTGGTTGTTGGCGGGCTGGGTGCGTGCGCACACTAGTGGTGCAGATTCCAAATAAAATCGACCAATTCACGGAGACGTTGTTGCGCTATTCGACGTTTTAGATTCTCGTCCGGTTCGATCGCAGTATTCCCGACACGAGCAATTTGTTTATCTCCTTTCAACGACAAAAGGTTCTGATGATGCGGGTGAATCGCAGTTCTGTTTTCCATCTTATCATCCTGTTCAAACGGATGTTCTTCGAAGTTCTGAAATGACCCAGAAAAAGAAACTTGATGAAATTTCGGGACAAAAGAAACCGCGCGACTAAGAAAAGATCCACAGATAGTCTGATCCAAACCGATATCGTCACACCAAAATCTAGTGAATGCTTCTGGATCCTTACTCATAATTCATCAATAATCTGGTGAATAATGAGAACCTAACGGTAAGAAATTGTATCCCAAAGGAAACAATATATATGAATATTTATGCTATCAGGGGCTGTACACATCCGAAGCCCCCTGCATTAAATAGCAACGAAATAGCACAAACCCGGCAACGCTTACCTCGTTCACTCGCTTTATTGCACGCGATAATCCATCTGCGATTTTAGAAGAGCAAAAAAGAACTTTGAGAGGTGTGACGTAAACAATGTTGAAATATTTCACAAATAAAACATCTCCGCTGATTGTTTACCAGTTTGTTTTGATTCAGAAACCCACAGTGACCCCGTGCAAAAACATAAACCTGCTCTTTCATTGAACTGTCCAAAATTATAGCACGATGATTGAGGTCCGAGTCAGACCGGGCGCAACGAACATGGTGAAGGTGCATCCGGTTTGCAGTCACATAAAAAAATAATATACGCAAAAGTTGCTTAACTGTTGCAGATCTCAGTTGATTTTACCAGCCACATATGGTACATGGCACCACAAACCACATTCTATACACTCTCTATATATGAGTGTGTGAAAATCGGTTGACTGATTGAAACGTATCCAATTTTTTTACTTTTCAGCTCAGAATGTGGTTTATTATTTTTATTATGTGAACGAGCACGACAGTTTATTGTTTGATTGATCAATGACCGAATCTCTGTGTATATTCTTAGTGTCGGTGCCTACTTGTCTACGATGTTGTGTAGTTGATGTTTGCTGTAAAACGAAAACGTTCGATTTATTGAGATCTATGCAATAGTTCAGTAATTACCTAGTTCCCACTGTCGATGATAAACCTTTGGCTCAATCCTTTTTCTGCCACAATGGGATGGTTGAGGGGGTGCCAAAGATGGAAAGGCAGTGAAAAAACGGGTTTTAGTGACATAATTTCATAGAAAGGTTATTTTTGGTTTTGCAATCAATCATTTTTTACTCTAGACCATTGCCAATAATGGTAGCACGTAGTAGTCTGGGGACGCAGTACACTGATTTGTCCTCAAACAGAAGAACGTTGGACATAAAACGTATACTTCAGCCGTGTGAGATCGCGTTCGGATAGATTAAACCTCCTCCTCGATCCAAATACAATGCCATTTGGGCGTGATGAGGACTGTTGTCATGGTAGGGGATTGTAATTAACAAATTATAAGAGTACTGTGGATTGAATGAATGCCCCTTATTCTAAGGGTGCATTTAACGTAATGGTGCTGACATTAACGCGACCAACGGACACAAATGATGCTCACTCACTACTGAAGTTTCAATGTTGCTTCGTGTATTTATAGAAATTAAGAAGAATTCATTAACTTACATATTAAAGAACCGAGCATATCATTGCCACTCGGTCCATTTATTGACAGTCGAGAGCTATGGTAAATCGTGAATGATAAACCCATTTTCACACCAACTGAAATGCTGATTTAACAAAGTTCGGAGTGAAAATGATTTCTGAGACTTGATTCATGATACATAATTTTGGATCATTTATTTGAACTAAGCATCCCTAAGATTTCAGCTGCACAAACAATTCTCAGTCCATTCAATCAACCATATGGTCGGGAAGCACTCAACATTGGGATTCAGTTTCACTGCGGCTCATTTGTCTTACATGTTCACTGGCTGTATACACCACATTGATCACAGGGATGGTCTTTTGTTAATATTGAGCCAGTTGCTATGTACCGGAGCCAACTAGAAATATCGATCCACTTTTGTTCAAATATGATATTGAATGTACACGTACATTGTTCAATTTCTTTTCAACCGAACGGTCTACAGACAAAAGGATGGAGTAACAACCGAATCACAACTTGGACTCGTTTTGGCGGACTTTTTCATAGCGATGCTGGAGAATAACCAATTGAAAGGCACGATTACTAGTTTTCATAAATATTCTCGGTATGTAGACGATATATTTTGTGTAGCTGATTCAAACTGTGAACTTGATCAACTGCTAGAAAAGTTTAACTCCTCACACAAGGCCATACAATTTACAAAGGACGTAGAACTGCATGATCGAATACCGTACTTCTCATTAGAAGACTTGATGGATCTATATAACGCCGTGTGTACCGCCAGAAAACATGGAGTGGCCAATACATGAATTTCCACAGGTATGTCCCGATTAAATTGGAGAGGAACCTGATAAAATGTTTGGTACCTAGAGCTCGAAGAATCTGCTCACAAGAAGTATTGAAAGATGAACTCAAATTTATTTCCAACGTGCTCAGAAACAGTGGATACTCCGACCGCTTCATTCAACGAAATATGATGGAACAGGTTCCAAAAGTACATACCGGTAGGTGGAAAAAAGACCTGTTTAATAGTTTTCCTTTTAAGGGCAAAGTTGCCACTTAAATAAGACAAATGAATGGAGCGGTAAAAGCCACATTTAACGCCGCGAACCTACGCTGCTCTTTCAAAAGTTTGTCACCAATAATCATACGGAATAAAGATAAACTACAAATGTTAACTGCTTCAATGATCGTTTACTCGTTCAGATGCGTTGATGACGCACTCTACGTCAGTCGTACGGCACGGCAGTTATCTATCCGCATGGAAGAACATTANATTATTCGCGCTAGCTGAGGTGGTTCCGGCTCTGTCACAAGTGCGATTCTCGCTCACTTGGTAGACACTGGTCATCGTGTTAACTCAAGTGAAGCTTTCCGCATTATTTATCAAGTCCCCCCGAACCGGTCCAAATACTTTAGAATGCGCACGTTGGCAATAGCCGGGGCCATCTGTGTTAAACATTTGACCCCCGAACTATGAGCCCAGAAACGTCTTATCCAAGCTCTGCATCTCCCCTGGGTTCACGAACCCACTCCTCCCCAATGACCCCCCCCCTTATGCCCGCACACACAAAGATTTTCACAGAACAACACCGATCCCTCAGAACTGGGTCACACGACCGCCATGATACAACTGAAAAATCCAGAAGCACGGATCTGAGAATGCGGTGTGCAACACACAGACAGACACACATACACAAATTGAAAGATTCCTCACATTGTATTGTTCTCCACCCAACCCCCTCATATAAACTGTAACGGCATGTTTATGGGTTATGGAATACGATGGTTCGTCTGAAATTGTTTTCTAAATATCAGAATGGACATATTTCGAAATATTGAATGACACTGTATCATTTTATTGAATTTGATAGTAAAAAGGAATACAAGATGAAATCTCTCAACTTCATTTTGAAACCTTCCAGTGAAAATCAAGTTCACACTCAACCAACATCACTGCTAACAAGTAACCAGCAATGAGTGCATTGGGAATCAAATTTCTATTTCAGAATTCATTCGGAATTCACTCTCTTTCCACGAAGTGCTCTCTCGCTCTCTGCGTCTCACATTCCACCCACCTTCCCTGAGTACCGAGTTGAAATATAATTGATGACTAGAGGAACGTGTTTGCTCGCCATTCTCGTCTGAGTTGGCTAGCACGAGACGTTAGTCAACGTTCGTTATCCTTGAAATAGTGCTGATAGACTTTATAATGAAATGCCTCCAACCAAACGCTTCCATTCTGTCTGACACAAAAGTACTCTCCGCTTCGCTACGCACTTTGCTGTTTGCGTGCTCTTTTTATAGAATTTGTTCAAACTATTTTTGTCACGCACTTTGAACACGTCCGGTTCTATCCTTGGTAAATTACGGGTTGCACGCCTGCCAACAAACTATCACGTTTCTCCCTCCTTGCGTCTCTCATCCTCTCTTCCTCGCTCCCCTACTGGCAATCGTCACACAAAGACAACTGAAACATCCCTGTTCCCAATGTTGGCAAAAGTTCACTGTTAAGGAGCAATGAAAGACAATTTTGCGGAAGTGTTCTTTGCCCACGCAAAGAAATGCAGGATGACTGCAAAAACCTAAACCAGACTGGAAACTTAAGTTGAAAATGTGTTAGTCAGTGGGTATCATGCTGGCGACCACGATCAGATTAAAAGTTAGGCCACAAAACCTAACTTCGTTCATACCCGTTCCCCCCCCCCAAATACCTTGGGTTGTAAGCATTCGTGAATCGTCTGCACAATTCCTCTTCGCGCTCACAGCGTTGCACCTGAAGGCAAATGTTGAATGCCCCACACATGCCCAAACTGTCCTGTTTTTTTCTTCCTATAAATGCGTCAGAACTCTTTGATCACGTTTGCAGTGTGATCTGTGTCAACAAGCTGTGAAACAACCGCACACCAGATGAACTTATTCTCTCCACTCCTCAACTACACAGGGTGATGTTCACTTATCGCTTTCACGAACTCCTAGTGGTGTGGCCCAAATGCTTTGCTCCACGGAACGCCTCTGAGCGGACGGGGACAGATACAGACAGCGAGATGGGGCGCTCGATTGTTCAACACCAGATACATCCGGGTGCCAGATTCGAATCTAGTTTGTAGCTTGGCAAAGTGGAACGTGTTTTTGACTATAATTTAGAGTATTTAATGAGCAATTTCTGCCAAGGGGTTATCTTTGAACGGTAAACAGTAACTAATGGCCCTTTGAATGAAATGTCTACCTAAAGTGCGGAAGAACTAAGAAGGAAACTATTGTTTATTTGAACCACTTTCCGTTTCTGTCGGCAATCCTAATCATTGAATATTCATTTATACATTGTGTTTTAATGGTTGGAAGCCATCTGAAACGAGTTTGTTTTCCTCTTTGAGTTCTCATCATTTAAGGGGGTAGTATTAAACAGCCTGGTACAAAGTTACTTTGCACAAAGAGGAGTAAGTGTGAATGCAAAGAGCGGCTTCTGAACCTCGCCTAATTTGGCCCTCCAAAAATGGAGAACAAAATCAAACGTACATTGAAGTCAATCCTCCAGCTAACAGTAACTGTCAATTGTTGGACTTTGGAAGTGGTGGATGCATCAGCCTCTGTAAGTTGGATGAGTGCTTCGAATGTGAAAAGATCAGTGCTACCGGTGTGGCCTCGTAGCTCAGCCGGTAGAGTGTAGGCTGTACAAAGGCGTGGACGGCGTCCATGCGTGGGTTCGAATCCCACAGAGGCCACTGAACCTTCCACAATCTCAAACTTCACTCTGACAAACAACAATGTGGACAAATGTTTTGCATATATTTTGGAGCTCATTAAATGCCAATAATCTCTATGCCAATACGTATCTTTCATATTTATCTGGAATTCTCGTGATGACTTGAGTCTGACCTTTGTTCCGTTATCCTATAAATTTTGACAACTTAGCGGCTCGCATATTCCTGACGAAGATCACCGGAGCTGTCCGCAACGTTGAGCGATGCGCAACATCTGTTTAACAGTGTTGTGTTATTTTTGAGCTTTTATGGAAAATGTCGATTAATTTCTGTTGCTAACTAAAGACCAATTAAAAGAACGGTTGAGACCCAGATAATACAAGAGCCCGTATGGATGCCTATGCGAATGTGCACCTGATTCCGTGTTGTCTGTCATTTTTCAATCAATCGAGGTCTACGTACCGATTAGTGTACACATACAGACATGCTATGCAGTGTGGTGTGAAATCTATTTGCGTGATAAGACTCCCAGTCAACTTGAGAAAGTTCAAATTATTAGAGGGTCATAATTATGGAAAAATACATCAGAATTATTAAAAAAAAACAATGTAAGACAATACAAAACATATCATTTATGATGTTTTCCACTGACCAGTATGCGTAAATCGATTCACGTTGGTTCTTTTCTCCCTTTCTGTGGGAACCTGATTGCTTGGGAAATAAATGCGATCAGGTATCCCGGCGAATCGCTTCAATTTGTTCCGGATTGTACGAGGTTTGCGCAAATCGTTTGGTTCACCAGGCATAATCGGTGTGGCCCATATTTCATCCTCGGGGATTTTCTTACGCCTGCGCACCGATTCCATCCAACGACGACGCATCCGAATCACCGACCCGTCCCAACCCTCAGTCATCGATGGATCATAGACAGTAATTCTGTCCCCATTCAACGCTAATACCGGCTCATCCTCTATCGGGACAACATACGGATGGGCATGTTCCAGACGATATAGCCTCAGAGCCCTTGCCAGTTTGTAATCGGCGAATGTGGGGGTTATTGGTTGAACATCTTGTTCACTGGGGTCCTCGTTGAACGTGAATGGACTTCCAGTAACTATAGAGATATAAACGAAATGAAAGTTCCCTCAGTCTTCGCAAAACGATGTTCATTTATTGTTTAAAATGTTACAGTAAACCGTGGCGGCAACCATAAGTCATCAGAAATTAAATCTTAAAATCGGAACAAACATGATTTTGTAATTGTGTTTAACTCTGGCTCGAGCTGGTTAGCAAAGTGGTAACACACACATCCTCCATGCGATGGGTGCGGAGTTCAAATCCCGAATGGGATGGTGGATATGACTACTGATGAGCTCTGATAAAAGCGATACTCGAGTCTAGTGCTTCTGGGTGTATGGTTGCCCGAAAAAGCCGAGAATTGTGCGTGAAAGTAAAGTCAGAGGGATTGTCAGTTCAAATCAAGTAACACCAAATAATCAACAACACTAATCGCAAGTAACTGTGATTTACATGCAAATTATCAATCTAGACTAGTAGGTTTTTGGTCTGTTAGCCCGTAACCTGCATGGAAAATCTTAAAAATAACTCGATAGATTGGATTCCATTATTTGGCTGTGCATCTTTCCGTAATACCAGTAAACTCAGTAGGTTCTCCCAATCTAATGACAGGTACACTTTTAAACGGTTCGCTGAGTTACCCGTTGTTTAAGCAGGTAGTATGGTTATGTTCTTTCTGTGAGTTCTTGGGTTTATTCTTTACCTGCATCTATAGATCCGTACTGTTAATGAGATGCAGTCAGGTATAGGATGCTTCCCCGCTTTTCATTTTGCACATTGTTTTTTTTCCTGTACAGGGCGAAATTCATCATCCAATCAAAAGATCGTATCCGATAAGTGTCGCTCATGTTCAGTTTTGAACGAGTTAATTGAAACGATTTGTATGAATGCTTAGAAGTTGCAGGGATTGAAAGTAATTAACATATTGAAGACAATGTGCTCTGGGTCTTACCACCAAACACAAACAAGTTCCCAACCTTATTACAATTACTGAAGAGCTTACCTCTGAGTGTCTAGGTCACACTATTAGTACTGATGTGATAATGTCACGGGGCGGAACCGGTTGTGGAGCATAGCAACTTTATTCATGTAATTCGCACATTGTGCCCATCAATCGCACTCATGAACATAGTATTTCAGAATAACTTTGAAAAGTAAACAACAATCACAGCGGCAAACAGCCACCTTCATAAGTTAATCATCATTCTGATCAAAAATTTGAATGTACTGTCGTATGACCTTGATGATCTCGTTTGATCAACTTTATGTCACCATTCGTGATAAAGAGATTTGCGATTCTCTTTCCTGTGGAGCAAAAGGAAACACGCTTCATTCGTAAAGATGGGTTTCTCTATATCCTGTGAATAGAAAATGAAAATCGGTCTGATCCGCTTCCCCGGGGTGGCCGATTGGGCAGCAGGCTCGCTATTTGCTTGTGAGATCTCGGGTTCAACCCCCGGCAGGTTCGATGAATTTGCACCACTGATGAAACCCAACTAGGTCGATACAACTGTCCAGTTCTTCGTAGCCTTTCAGGTCACGCTTCATTTGCTCTACAGATGACAAATTCTCCCTATGAAATCCAATCAAATTCTCCATTACCGTTATGCGCATGGATAATGAACTTCCCAGAAGCGCGAATGTATTGATCAGTGATCCGTCTAGACCTATGCACAGTACGTTTGCATATCGTCTTGATTTATCCTGTGCCAACTGATGGGTCAAACCATCGGTCGGCTACCCTTCACGAAAGCCAGTGTGTTGTGAATTGATTCAACGGGTGGCGCAGTGATTTAGTCACTGTAACAGGCGTGCATTGGACCCTATAGTCCACGGTTAGAGCCCTACCACCGCCACCCGACTTTGATGGTAGGCAGCTTTGCTGTCATCCGGTCCAATATCACACCTAACCTAACGGGACCTTATCTGGTTCATCACTCCGAGTCCCGGGGCTTAGGTTTTCGGTTCCCATCACTAAACAGCAGGTCCTCGTGACTACGGGGTTCGTCCAGCCTGCTGTTCATCACGTGAAAGTGTGTAATTAAAAACTGATAAACCCATGGATTTTGTGACTCTATTTTACCTTGGGATTTGATTGATTCCAAGTCAAACATACAGTGGTTGCCCTTGTGCAAGGAGCTGAAAACTAAAAGGTACCTGATAATCAAAATTTGCAAAAGTTGTCTACGAGTATATGGGTATATGAATATGAGCCACAACTCGTCATTAGATGATACCAATCAACTGTACACGCCATTCAGGCTGATTTTAGCCCCCTGAGTTAATAGTAGGATTAGATATAGTAGCTCTCATTTGTACTTCTCTGTCTCCATGACTGCGGGGATAATTGAAAATCGAGATACCTTAATGTTTGTCATGGGCGGTAAATGTGGACTACTCACATCAGTAGATGATAAAACCAAATATTATCGATTCCGGACTGGGACGCCACTTCTTGAACTGATGTATGCATTTTGCAGACATCCGTTAAGTGGAAATTCCGGAACCATGCATTTTGATCCACGAGTGATGTTCTGGTACTCAATCAAGAGAGATAATGTAACAAAAGGCGTTGGAACATTTCCTTGACATTTGTGCCTTTCAAAGTAGGAAATAATACGCTTGACGTTAACAGTCGCTTAATTCATTCGATTTACAAAAGCTTACACATGTTCTGTTGTTCTTGGAGTTAAGCTTTAAAGTGGTCAACAAAGCAATAGGGAACATATTCCAGAGTCTATTGTGCTCAATCCTATCAGCGTGGTTGTGATGCGAATCGTTAAGTGAACTTCTCCTTCGGCATTTCTATTAAGCATTTACATCAAAGTAGAGAAACTTGTTTGGCTGATTACTGCTAATTAGATGTAGCGAGCTTGTGGTCTAAGATGTCGCTCTCATATTTGGGCATAAAGACTGGGTCTGCAAAGTGGTTTTAAATGAGCCAAAAATACGACTGGTAGAATTGAAGCAGAGGGCCCTCACTGAACTGCTGATTCTATCGGTTGTTTTCGTGAATCACGTTTTCGGTCTGGTTCCTGATGTTATTGCGCGTATGAGCCGAAAACTCCGGGTGAAATTTGAAACGAACGTTTCTAAGCATATTTCGAATCCGTTCAGAAACTGACGGATGTAGAAAATCACAGATTCCTTGTTCCTTATTCTAAAGTGAACAGCCTTTCTGTTCAAAATGAATTTAAAGCTTGGTTTGGATTCGTTTGACTCGTATGCCATGCATCATTACCAAGAGGAAGTTTGCCGGATCGAAGTCGAACTTCAACTTGCTTTTCCGGAGAAGAAAGTTGGCGATTTGGAAGTTTTTATTGACTGTAAACCGTTTTTCGGAAATGGATATTTCCAGCGGTAGAGAAAATCTCAACACGTTTCAGCAACATACGAGAGATTGGGTGAATGGGGTCCGTGCAGAACGGTTAGCCATTCTGAGTATTTCAAAGCACAATTACTCACGCGTTTATCTGTTTGATGTCATAAACTTCAAACCCGGAGGTTGGGTTGGGATGTCGGCGAGATTGATATTTAAGATGATTGAATACACCCATCATTTGCACATCATTCGATTGCATATCGTGGGAGAGTCCACAAATGAGCAGAGCTACCCCGCTGTGCGGCTGATAAAATCACCAGGACCCTCTCGTCTAATATTTCCCGTTTTGTTACCTATGCATAATGCACGATGACATGAGTTTAATCGAGTATGACGGATCGCTATGGATGGGAAGGGCACTCCCTGTTTGGTGTAACTATTTTTTGTGAACCTTGCAACCGGATTCCTGCATTTCAAATATGTTCGTTACTTGAAAGCCCGTCATTGGCCACATTTTTGTTACCAACTGCATGGAAGGAAAACCTCTTATAATGGTTTTAAACAACTGCTAAGTTTTATTCTGTCATTATTGCTATGTTGATTTCAAGCTACGATTCAGGAAAGCGAGGATAAACGCCTCAACATGTATCTATCTTTTCAAAGGTAAGCATATACTACTGCTAATTGCCCACACACGGTTTTACAATTTTCCAAAACGAAAATATCGGTTCATAGTGCAGTTCAAAACAAATAAAATGACCTTGAAAATTGAATTGGTCATAAACAGTTGCCAATGAGCGGGCTGCTCAGTCAACTGTTTTGCACAACACCTCATCCGTTCCCCGGGTTATCTTGCACGATACAAACACCTGTTTTGTGGGATCATTTTTGTACGACCACAATAAGGGCATGGAAAACAAAACCGTCAGAGCACAGAACGCTTATCATGGCGAAAACTCAAACACGGTTTCTGGGGGTTACATTTTCCTTTAACCACAACGGGATCAAAACAACTATTGTTCAGTTTTTTCCCAAAACATGTGGGTTAGGTTTTTCTGAGGCAACTAATCAACATGCTATTGAGTAAGGCTTATCCGGACAGGTTGTTATATGTGGTGCTTGGTAGCTGATAAGTTAGTGCGTTGGCGAACCAGGTTGGGAACAGCAACAACAACTGTAACACGGAAACAATTGCATTCGGAAAGTTTGATGAATTTAGGGGTTGAAAATTCCTTTAATTCGAAAACTGGTTGAGCCCAGTTTTCTGCTGTCTAAATGAACGGCTCTGTGAGACGATCCGTGATAGAACATGAGTTGCTGGAATGAGGATCAAATTGTGATGATGAGCAAACTCCGGAAGGTGAACAAGTCCCCCGAAACGTTCTCAAATTTGTATATGCTGGCTGGTATTCAGTTTTCAAGATCCGGACAGAATTTGTCCCACAAAGTTTGGTTCCCGTCAGACACTTTATCAACCAAAGATGAAACAAACCAGATAAAACAGTCAGCGCTATTGAAAATCCAAAATGGACAGCGAATATTGCACATTTTCGTCCCAAATTTGATTGTTTGCTAGTCCTGGTTAAACAAACCAGTTCCGAGTTAACTTAATTAATTCAATTACCGCGAGCAGGAAATCAAAACTGGGCAGAATATATAAAGTGTGGGCATGGTATTTTGTGTGAGTGAACATCGAATTGTGCTTGACCCCGCTTTTATTCTTCTTCTTATTTAGTTCCTTTTTATTGAATACACAGGCATGCAATTTTCAGGAACGGAAAAGTGACCACTAATAGCGCTATCATGCAATACGCAACTGGTAACTTCAGGTGGTGCTGGTGGTGGGATTCGATCACACGTCCTCCATGATAATAATTTGGTGATGTGTTGACCGGGCAGCCACCACCACCTTGAATCAGTTCGATGAAAATCCGTTATCCGCGACAAATGAAACATCTCTGCACAGTGAGCAATCCGGAAAATATTTCAATGCATGCATTTTTCCGAACAATACCAGTGTGTAAGCAAAAAGAGAGAATCCAAAATCCCATTCATTCCCCCACCTGTGATTAGAAATATAAACGTATTGGTAATGATCAAACTTGTGCGACACTTTTCCGAAATTTACTGATCTCAATGCATAAAGTGTTCAGATTGAAAAAGGGAAAACTGCATCTTGGTATCATACCTATCATGAATATCTTCCGAAATAGTTGTTTTCTTTGGTCGGGCGCTTACGAAAGAACTTGTTAATTTCAGCGACAGTTGACGAAGTATCAGTTGAAGATAACCAAAGATCCGTAAAAAATACTTAAAAATGCAAATATGCATTAGAACTATGTATATCATGGTTCACAATGGTATTTAAAACATTTATTAGACCTTCTGCGCCAAACAACGTATGAAACACTACCCTACTCGTGAACAACGTAATTTGTCGATGCCTATCTGGCGAACCTTTCCCAAAACATTACGCAATCGGTTCTCGAAAAACGCAGCCCCAATGGATAAGTGTACTCGTGCGCTGCAATAAACCACCACATCTCACGAGAACTACCCAAACAATGCATAACCCAAAGTATACAAAGAATGTCTGGAAGTGTGACAGTTATCGTGTGTTATAATGCATGTTATTCAAGTTCTATCCAACTAAGAAGTCCAAAACATACAATACGTATATATATATATATATATATATACGCAGCCGCAGTAGAGTGCTGATAGTTTACGGGCTGCCCTTGGTGATGATACACCTCTGAGTGGAGTGAGAAATTTAAGCGTGACAGGCGGTCCGGGAATGATGAGATACGATATGATTGACTTGTGCAGGCCACCACAATGGACAGCATTGCTGCTGTGCAAGCGATGGTGGAGGTCACAGTAACAGCTGGCGAAAGTCATATGGTTCGATCCGCACTATCCTACATGAGATGCTCATCATTCGAAAGGTTATGTGAAGCTTGGTATCTCATCAGCTCAGCGAGGAACAGAAAGCAGTTCGGGTAAATAGGTGACGCATCGTGCTTACTAGGTTGGATCCGGGAAGTTCCTAAGCAGTTTGGGTGTAAAAATTCGACCCAGAGAGCAGGTAACAATCGGCTCAGTGGACGCCTGTTTATGGGGCACCGACTCAAGACTTCCTACGCGAACGCAGTGCGACAAAGCAGATAGTTTCTGTATTTATAGCTAAAATGGGGTAGGTGGCCACTATACCGCGCATACAGCAAAGCTCAGACACCGGTGACTGGGACGCCACTTAATGTCTTCCGAAACTGCTGGAAGCTGTCGACATGCATCGTGAAAGGACTAGAGCACGTGGGATCCTGTTGCATCATGAAAACACACCTGCACATAGGTTCCATGTCATCTGCAATTTTCTAGCTAGGGAAGGCATCCAGGAGGTTGGTCAGCCACCCTAGCTACATGTGACTATTTGTGCTCCCAAGTGCAAAATGCTTGATGCGTGGAATCCAATACGAGTCAACAGCAGCTGCACTGGAGGCCGTCATTGAACTGGTTAAAGCGTAATCGCTTCGGCGTGATCGAGTTATTTCACCAAATGGATTGAGCACATGGAATCGTGTGCATGAACGCTGATGCAGCGCACTAAGAGAAAATGTAATGGTTATTATTGTGTAGCAAATACAACTTAGTTTGCTTCCGGGAACTATATTGTCAGCCCCCTCCCTATTTCAACATCTCATCATCTCTGTCAGCAGCTGTTCAGAATGTTTATTCATTCCTCCTCCGTTGGTTCAATATATAACGGAACACACCCTACATATTCTGTCCTTCGAAAGTTCCGATAGAACGTTTCGTTTATATATCACCAGACCCGTGTGCGTCAGGACTGGTGAGTCCTTCAGAGGATTCCCTTTTTACACACGCTTGATAGCTCAACCTTCCGTTTAGAGCAGGGACCCAAAACATAGCCTGCAGCTTGAAGTTGATTGTCCACAGTTTGTGAAAAGACAGTCTTCAGTTCACGTGGTTTTCGAAATCCCACTGTTATAAAATGATTTTTAGATCATTGCTTCGATGAACTGAATCAGCATACTTCCCGAAATTTTCCCTGAGCTATGAATACTTTGTTATATGATATGTGATAACTGCGGTCATGAATTGGGAAACGAAATTAAGTCGAGAGGAGCACAGCTTTCGTCGAAAAGCAGCAATACCCCCCCCCCCCGCATCTTCCCCGGGCCGCAATCTGCACAGTGTCATCCGGGAGACGTGATCAACTGTATCGTTTAACTTTGATCTGCGAGCAACATGCATGTGAAAAAGATGGAAACACTGATATGTCAAGACGCCGCTGGATGAAGAGTGAACCACGCAACATGAATTGATGACAATAAAACTCATGTGTTGTCAACCAGTTCCTAAACTGCGAGAAACGACAGAGGAGTTCAGTCGATTGATGCGACTTTGTTCTGATCTCAACAGGTCCCAATGAGCCCCGTTCGGTGTCATACCGATACCAGGATTTGTAGGAGGAGAAAGTTTGCCGTGCAGCCGTTGTCCGGTTCATCACTCACCAATGGCAAACAGGTTGCGATGAAGCACGTGGATTGCACTTATCATAAAATGGGACAGGATTTTTAGGCCCCCCCCTCAAATAAAACAGAAAAATGAGCGACAAAATGACTAAGTGCGACTGCGTCATATCTGACGATCCTAGTTACCGATTAACAACATATATATGAAAAACATTATGATTGGCACTTGATATAGATGCAGAAAATTTGGTGTACAAGCAACGGTGACCCCGTGATGACGTCATCAAATTATCACCCCGGTGGATATGTGTTGGAGTCCCACCACTACCACCTGGGTTTCTTCATTGTGTATTGTACAGCAGCCCTTTGATTGGCCGCTTTCCTGAAAATTATATGTTTGTATGTTCAACACAAAAAAAGAAAAACGAAAAAGAAAGAAAAGAATTTCAATACACTGCATCATCATGCACTCTGTTGATTGCGCATAACTGGTTGTAATCATTTATTTTATCCCAAGGCATACCTCTGAAAGCGAAAAATCGTTGGGCAAGTTGTCAAGTTTCAGCTGGTCACCCTATCCTTGCACCTATTACATGACCAGGTGTCTCAAACAGCCTCTGCTGAGAAAGCACTACTCACTGCATTCTCGAAGCGGAGTTGTTTTCCCATCAAAGCCATAGAACTAACAGCCGATAGTCTGGGGTTGTAACTGAGTCGATGAACCCTTGGCAGCTCACCTTGGGGAGTTTATCAAAATGCCTGATTCCAAACCAACCAAGAAGTGGTGTAGGAACCACACTCAACAAAATATTAGTTATAGCAGTAGTCACTGGTTCAACTGGGCATCTTGGATGTTTGACTCGTCCAGAAGGGCTGATGATCCGATGTACTGGACATCGGCCCCCAAAGGGATTGCGGTTTTTACACACCTCCGTGCTGTCTTGCGGGTCAGACTTTGGTTGGTCAACTGTTTCGTTCGTGAATTCCATAAGCAATTCCACCTGCATTGTCCTGGACAACTTGACTCACGAGCAAATCCTGAACCTTTTTCTTTAAAAAAAGCATTGTACAGTACTTATTTTGGCACATTGTCCAAACTGAAACGAGTTTGAAATATAATACAATCGCAATGCATACATTCCAGATAGCCGCAAATTGAAGGTAAAACGGTCATAACTCGTTTGATGCGTCTGACTTCCTAATCAGATAGATATCACTCATATGAACCCCAGTTCAACATCAGATCTCTGTCCATTTTTATCCGGGAAAAATAAAAACCAAACTGTGATAAAGTTATTTTTTCCTCCTTGATTATTAAACTCTATTTCCGCTAAGCAGTTCTTCTGATGAATAGGAATCCAATAAACAATTCGATCAAGAGTATGCTGTGAACGACTGTCCAGAATCGTACATCAATACCAACAGATGCCAATAGATCGATATTAGACATGACATACTTTTTATTCAAAATAATTTGAAGCGAACACAACCCTTGGAGTTATGCACCAACAAACCGACATGGCGCATCACTCTATATCATGTTTACGCAATGTTTACCTAAATGTACTTACGGTTATTAACCAGTGCTCGTAACTGTGTGAACATCATACGTTATCCAGATTTTCAGTTAACGAAGCGTGACATTCCAAAATTACATATACGCTGCTGGGACGTGCGCGGTTGCTCGCAGTCAACATTGACATCTACCATTGGGTTTAACGGGAATACAGATTTCACTTATTGGTATGGATGAAAAAGTAGGGGAAATTCAACCGACTGAATTGCATCACTAACCGTAAGAGAGCACAATACTCGCGGTGGCTCATGGACCATGAATGAGCGATTACGAGTAAGGATCTCTGTGATCTTTGATGATTGACAACACGTTTGAATTGGAAACGTCCGGTATTCTCGGTGAAATTTGAACCCACGCATGAACTTCGTAAGTTGCATGAGTAATCCAACTGTGCGCGGGTTGGAATCCCCGTTGACGCTAAGGATCGTTTCCAAACTTCAATGTATTACTTAACTTAGCAGACACCACGATCGAGTTGTGTATATAAATGAATTCTTCGTGGCCAGTGTTTCTTTGAACTGCTCCAGTTTATCAGTATATGATGCTTAAGCATGAACCATTATTTGTATTTGTATGTCTAACTTGTGTAAGCATGTATGCTTACATTCCAGTTAAAAAGGTGCACTGTTCATCACACGGAAGGAAATGATAATAATAATATTATTATTAATAATAATAATAATAATGAACATGAAAGGTCAAGAATGTCGCTGATATTCGTCTCATGTAGAAAACCCTTAGCGTAGTTCAATTGCGACCTGTACCTTTTTGGTCAGCAGTTGGATCAGGGAGGGGAAATTTTATAACTGTTAATGCGTGAGAGTAAATGCCGAAATGAGGAGCTTGTGGACGAATGGGAAGGATAGAACGATTGATCAGGATGCAATGGATGAAGTGGGTCATCCGGAATCCTATGGACAAATTTAAGGCAATAGTTGATCTGACCATCAGTGGGTTTCGTGGTTAATGAATCAATAGGAATTAATAATAATATGCGACCGATGGTCATCAACCATGGCGGACTGTTTTGAAGTATTGTTTTAAAAGACCAGCAAACATAAGAAACACAAGATATACTCCCCTGGGACACGACAGTTTTAAGTAAGTCATTACATTTGAT